TGTCAGTGGCAGAGAACTTGTGTGGAAAAAGATCATTTTCCAGTGAGATTCCCTTAGTACTCCTATCAATGTATTTATAGTCATTTGAAACTTGGCTTAATGTCTCTTCGATGCGTTTGATTGTCTCAGGTGGAACATATTTCTCAGGTATTTGGCCTTCTCCATTCTAGTGGTGAGTCCTTTGACCAATTCAACAAGATCATCTACTATCTTTTGGATTATGTCAACATCTTTTTATTTAGCTGTGATGGTTCAGCTGATTCCTTCCGAGTTTCGCATCGCAGGACGCTAGAACCATCGTAGGATGCTGGAACCATCGCGGCGCGATAGAGACTGACGCTCTGCGCCATAAACCAAATTTACGCACCGATACTGGAATGTCAATTTGATTTGTTTTCAGTGACTCTTTCAAAGGTTTAATCCTATAGTCTGCTAGGTTGAGTATACTTAGACTTTTTGTAGGTTCATATTAATTAACCAATTTAATTAAGCAAAGTCATTTTTAGTCCTTGGTTAGTTCATTAGACTCAAGAAACAAGTCAACACAAACAGTTAGTTTAATCACAAATAAGGTATGCATAAGTAAGAGATGCACAAGTAGTCAAGTAGTCACAATATGATGCAATGAGTTTTCCACCTAACCATGGCTCTAGTTCTCTAAGGTCAAGGATTATGGTGTCCAAGAGGGTCCATGGTTACGAGTCCGGATGCATCGCACGGAAGCCTTACCTTAGAAGGGTTGGCACAATGGATGGGACCCCGCAAGTTAAACTCGCTTCCATGGTTTGGCAAATTCACAAACTCGGATGCACCCATTGTAGCACAGAGCATTCATTAAGGTTGATGGAGCGTAAATTCCTAAGGGCTAAAACCACATGTAGAACACATATGGGTTCCGAAAAGTAAAAAAAAAAAAAAAAAAAAACTCAATCAAGAAGTAGAATCGTCGAGATAGTACTAGAATCGGGCAGAACAGGAAGACAGAAGGCTGACACAAAATCGCCAGACCCATCGCTGGAAGAAAGGGACCATCGCACAACGATAGCTCTATCGCGGCGCAATAGAGCTATTGTTTGGCGTTGGTCACTATCGTTCTGCGTTGGTTCAGGCGTTTTGCGGCAATCTCTATTTTCGATGTTTCTTCCGATTTTTCATAGGGTCTTCTTGATTCTAGTTGTGAAAGATATTTCCAGCCTTTCCTACGTGTATGTTCCTATGTTTTTGGTGCATTACGGATGGTCTTTCTAATGCGAACCTTTTTATGCTTATGCCACAATGTTAATCAAAGTTATGCATAATGAATATCTATACTATTTCGAGTCTTATCAACTCATTGTAAATCAATTGCCAAAATAAATTTTAGGAATCAATCTAGAAATCCTCCCCAGCGGAGTCGCCAAAAACTGTAGGGAATTTTTCAAACTCAACTTTTTGAGCCCCACTGTGTTCATGCTTTTGTGCATGGCAGCGCTCCAAGGGAAGGAAGCTAGAGATAGAAGAGTCGCCAACAAGTTTTAGAAACATGTAAACTGTCCACAGGTGCGAAGCTAACACCCCATTCACGATCATGGAGATCGCTAACTCAATAGTGGTCCAGAACCATGACTGGATGTTCGGGGATGATGGTACGAATCCAACCTAAAAGTGATTGAACCCGCCCTAAATCGGCTTCTACTCAATTCTTATGATATTCATGTGTACTTTTCAATCAACATACATACATCAAGTTAGCCCTAAAGTTGTTTAATCTACGTTGGTTAATTATTAATGCACAATCAAATCTATTATTGGCGATCACTTTAATTAAAATCATATTAGCCTAAATCAAATTATTAATTTTCTTATAAGGCGTGATTTCAAGTACAAATTCCCTTTAAACTCGCAAAAAGGGGCATGATCAAGCAACAACAATAAATCATGAATAATCAAGCAACGTATGATTAATTGACACAACAATCATCATCATAATAATATCATTAAAACATCATTATTAAGATCCTAGGCATGATACTAATCAGATTTATAACAAATCCTAGCATGTTACTAATAAAAATCATAAACAAAGCATCATCTTAAACATGATGCTATCAATCAAAATCAACATCCTAAACATGATACTAGAAATCATAAAGACATCCTAACATGATACTAGGAATTAAAATAATATTCTAAGCATGATTTCTACTCCAAAATCAAAGAATAAAGATAGTAGATTTATTCACCTTGATGCCTCGACTTTCTTGCTATTTAAACAATACACAAATTAGTAAACTTAAAGAAAGATTAAATCAAGAAAGTAAATAAATCAACTAATGAATTGAAATAAGATTTGGGACCAAACCCTCATAACTATCAACCTTTCACGTCGAGGTCGAAGGCAGCGTCAAGGATGGCTAGGAGTATTCAAATCTCGTGAATGAGGAATAGTGTTTGATTTGTGAGAGTATCAAGGATGTGTTTAGGCTAAGGCTAAGAATACGGAGAGAAAGATAGTATTAGAAAGGGTATTGATGATGATTTTTGGTGATTAGAAACGGGGAAAATGGCCTCTATTTATAGGAATAAAAGAGGGTCGAAGCAATAAAAAAAAGATCCGAATTTAAATCAGAATAAAATTCCTTTATTGCGGCACGATAGGAGTATTGCGGCGCGATGGTGTTGTCGTGGTGCGATGGTCCTGTAGTTTTGCAAATTTTGTTTTAATCATAACTTTTGATCCAAAAATTGGAATATGATAAATAATATATCGTTGGAAAGCTCTGGAAGTCTAATTTCCAATTCATTTATAATATAATTGATATCTTTTGTAGAATTAAAGATATGATCGAAATAGTGGAACAGTGTCAGTTTTGGATAGAGTTTAGTATTTTAATCATATCTTTTCCGTTTCTAATCGAAAATGGGATTATGATGTATCATTGGAAAGATAATTTCAAGGTCTATCCAACCATCCTAGATTTGGATAAAAAGTTATGAGGCACAAAATTCAGTTTTGACCGGGGTTAGGATTATAAAAAAGAGGAGTTTTATTCAATATCAAATTCTTTAATCCTTATCTTTCAAGGAAAGGATAAATTTAGAACCTTCTAGAGGATTCTAGAAGCTCCTAAAGAATCCTAATTTTTTTAGGATTGAAAATAAGGTATTGGACCCTCCTCATGGTCATTGGGTCGTAGGTCCAGTTTAGGCTCGATTTAGTATTTTTGCCATAACTTACTCGTCATAAGTCAGATTTGGGCTTATAATATATCGCTGGAAAGATCTTTTCAAACCCTATCCAAATAAACAATAATTGGATCAGTATTATGGACCAAAATAATCTGGTTTGGACATTTTTTTATGAATTGGACAGGAAATGAATGATTTCGGGTTTAAAGGCACCAAATAAATGGGTTTGGATTAAAACATTTTAGGAAAGGTTAGGGGTATGGTCAAGTCTTAAGGGAACTTCACGAGACTCTTCAACTCTTTACCGATAATCAAAGACGTGAAAGATACTCATCACTGGGTTTGATTTTTGGGGAAACACAATAAGGTGTCTACACTACTATAGGCAAACCATTACCTGCACAACTTTTAAAGCTACCTTCACCGTCCTACTATAACAAATGCAGTGCTAATAAGTTTGCTTTTGAGTCCTCGAATTTCTGTTACAGGGATGGAGACATTAAAATAGCTACTAATGAATATCCGCCTGAGTTAATAAGGTTGTTCACTTCACAAGATGAAGATGTTGTACATTTTAGAAAATACGCTAGATTATACAACAACTTATTTGCATTTAGCTCACTTGGTGGTAACATCGATACAGATACATATAAGGCATATATGTCTTCAAGTTACATGGTCAAATATATCACTTTGTACCAGACTTAATACCAGATGAAAATGGTCCAAAATACCTTCAACTTTATTTTTATGATGGCCAACATGAACTTGAAAATCAACTAGCCAACCGAGTAATGCATTATTATGGCAGTTATGACCCCCTAAGGTATCCTTTGCTTTTTCCACGGGGTGAATGTGGATGGAATCAAGGACTAAAAAAGGTTTCTCATGGTGGTAACATGCAAGCAACCACTTCAGTAGATCCAGTGCAGTCTTGTGCGGTACATACAACAGAGGAATTACTTGCTGAAGAAGCAGCCCGTAAGTTAAATTATATAATATGTTTCTTTGTTTAAATTATAGCAGATGCATGGTTGGAATTTAATTTGATAAGTTTAATGAGAACATTGTTGTTTATACTAATTGGAGCTTCTTGAAGACATACTAGAGTTGATAAATATATATCTGCGAGGAAGTACTATGCGTATAAGCTGCAAATACGGCCAGGCAATATACTGCTAAGAGGAGGTCGTGCTTATCAACAGTATGTGGTGGATATGTATGTCAAGGTTGAGAATACAAGGCTAGATTTCTTTCGTAAAAATCAAGATACAATAAGAGCCGAATTATATACAGGAATTCTTGATACTGTGGAAGCAAGGGAGACTAATGCTGCTAACGTTGGTCATAAGTTCATTTTACCGCCCTCTTTCTTGGGAGGTCCTCGTGATATGAAGAGGAGATATTTGAATGCAATGTCTCTTGTGCAGCGATTTGGAAAGCTTGATATTTTTGTCACTATGAAATGCAATGCAAATTGGCCAACAATTAAGGCTGAGCTAACTCTAGGTGAGGCAGCACAAGATAGGCCAGATTTAGTTGTGCGTATATTTCGAGCGAAATTGATAGCCTTAAAAAATAAGATTAAAAAGGAAAATGATATTGCTAAAGTGGCAGCTATGGTTTATGTCGTAGAATTTCAGAAGAGAGGCTTACCCCATGCTCACTTTTTGCTGATTTTAAAGGAAGAAAATAAGATGAAGTTGTCAGCTGACTACGATAAGTTTGTAAGTGCTGAAATTCCTCCTGTGACACAGCCTGATTAACGCAAGATTGTGTTAGCTCATATGATGCATGGACCATGTGGAAAATTAAATCTAGATTGTTCTTATATGAGAAAGAAGGATGGTGTTGTTGCCTGTAAAAATGGATTTCAAAAACAATTCACAGCGCAGACTACAACAAATAAAGATGGATATCCTTGCTATCGTAGAACAAATACTGGTGAAAAGGTGAAAGTCAGAAATGCTGAGCTAGATAATCGATGGGTTGTACCTTATAACCTATACCTCTCTACTCTATTTGATTACCACTTAAATGTCGAAGTTTGTTCAACTATAAAAGCAGTGAAGTATTTATATAAATATGTTTACAAAGGGCATGATCGGGTGGCTTTTAATATATCAGCACAGGATAAAAATTTTGCAGATGATATTGCTCAGTTGCAGTCTAGGAGATGGATGTCACCGTGTGAAGCAGCATGGAGAATCTTTGCATTTGTAATTTTCTATATGTATCCACTAGTATTGCTTCTACCTGTTCATTTACCAGACATGCATACTGTTTGTGTACGACCACATCAACGCCTTGATGTAATTGTTGCGAGTGGTGTCTATTCAAAGACTCCACTAACAGAGTTTTTTCGCATGAATATGGCCTTTAAGAATGGTTTGGGGTATTTATATGGCAAATTTCTGAGCATTATAGGTGGGATGCTTCAGCAAAGAGTTGGTTTAAAAGACAGTACATTAAACCAATGATTGGTCGACTGGCTTTTGTGGCACCTTGTGAAGGGGAGCGCTTTTACCTTCGATTATTGCTTTTTAACGTCAAAAGTCCAACTTTTGTTACTAGCCTTCATACAGTAGATGGTCGAGTTTTTGCAAGTTTTAAAGAAGCATGTCTTAAGTCTGGTATTTTGGAAGAAGATGATGCTGCTAATATTTGTTTGTAAGAAGCAAGTAAGGTTCGGTTACCTGTGGCTTTACGCCGTTTATTTGTAACTGTGCTGATAATTTTCCAGCCAAGCAGTCCTATAGACTTATGGGATAGATACTACTCTACACTATCAGAAGATTTTTCTCATAAACATCGTGATGCAACAATTAAAGTTAGGAAGCTTACAATCAAAGTAGTTGAACAACATCTAGAAGCAATGGGAAAGTCGTTGCAAGAATGTGCTTTGGCTGATTTAGTAGATTTAGACAACTTTGAGATCAACAGGACAAAAGATATTCAGGATGCTCTAGATGCGCCGATTTCTGAAGAATACATAAACAATTGAAATCTTCTTAATGCAGGTCAAAGGGACGCATTCACATGTATAGTTCAGCATATTGTGGAGGAGAAATAGGAGATTTTTTTTGTAGATGGTCCTAGAGGAACTGAAAAAACATTCTTATATAATGCACTTTATACAGAAGTTCGTCTTATCAATAAGATTTTTTTTGCCAACGGCTACATTAGGAATAACTGCTGCAAACATCCCATCTGGCCGCACAGCACATTCAAGATTCAAGATTCCAGTGGATAGTGATATATCAATATCTTGTAACGCTTCAAAGCAGAGTAATCTGGAACCATTAATCAAAGAAACAGCTCTCATAATATGGGACAAGGCATCTATGGCAAACAAGGAAAATATCGAATCTCTTGATTTATTGCTGCATATACGACAATAAATCTATTTTTGGTGGAAAGGTAATTGTCTTTGGAGGAGATTTTTGGCAAGTATTTCCTGTTATTCCAAATAAGACTCAAAAAAAGCAGTTGAAGCAAGTGTGGTTAGCTCTTATAAATGGCATCATTTGATAAGATTTAGGTTAACAGAAAATCTAAGAGCTAGAGAAGATCCGCCTTTCTCTCAGTTTTTGCTCAGACTTGGAAATAGGGAATTATAAACCAAGGAAAGTGACTATGTTCAGTTGTCAATGCAAATAGTGCAAACTTTCCAGTCTTATGATGATCCAATCACTGATATACTTAAAAAATCTTTTCCAGAACTTGGTTCACAAAATTTAGATCCACACATCTTTTTAAGGAAAGCTGTTCTGACACCTATGGATGATGATGTTGATTCCATAATGCTTATATGATACAGAAATTTCCTAGACAGGCCATTATGTATAAGAGCTATGACACCATTTTGGATGATAATGGCAGTATATATCCAACGAAGTTTCTAAATAAGCTATGTCCAGGAGGAATGAGCCCTCATGAGCTTGTATTGAAGGAAAATTGCTTTATAATATTGTTAAGAAATCAGCTGCCCTTTTTGGGTTTGTGTCATGGGACACGTCTTATATGTAAAAGGTTTTTCTCGAATTTGATTGAATGAATGAATGTGTCATTGTTGTTAGTCAATATCAAGGGGAGCATGTATTCATACCCCGTATCAAGCTTCGTCCATCAAGTTCACTAAAATATCCCTTTCAGTTCTAGAGAAACCAGTTTCCCATCAAATTAAGTTTTACAATGACTATGAACAAGTCACAAGGGCAGACCTTAGATAAGGTCTTAATTTATTTACCTCGTCCATGTTTCTCACACGGCCAGTTATATGTGGTGAAATCACGTGCACGGACAGCTGCTAATGTTAAGGTCTTAGCAGTTATACCTTCTACACTGCTATCATAAAATTCTGTGAAAAATGTGGTATCATATTCTATTCTGAGGCTAGCAAGTGTCATTCAACTTATTCTGAACTAAACTGGTTAGTTAAACCTGGTTTCTTTATATGAATTCAATTTCTGCTTATCTTACTAGAGTAATTTTCACATGCGTATTTAGATAAGTGACGTATTTTATTTCTGTTGCAAGATTGTCTTCGTTACTAAGGGTTCTTTTACAACAAATTTTGCTAATTTGGGAAGAAAATTATAGCATGTAAAAGATTTTACTACCCCCATTACATATTAGTTGCAACTTTGGAATATTTTATGTCTCACAAATATTACCCAAAGTTGCAACTAATATGTAACAGAGGTAGTATAAGTTATGACCATTTTCTATGTTGTAAAAGAAAAGAGGGGAAAAAAAAGGGAGGGGGGAGAGAAAGATTAAAAGTACTTTATTTATATCATATACTATATTTTTGCTGGTTTCAATGTACTGTGTTATTGTAAATGTGTTAAATCAAACCCTATAATTATGGATCCCTTTTGTATCTATGCTTCATGTATTTCAGCTATAGATATGAAAACATTAGTACTATAAATAAATTAATCTTATTTTTTTATATAGTATGATCAAATGTGGCTGTAAGACCACAAGAAATTGAAAGGACAATTTTTTCTGCCAAAGTAAGCTTGTACAGGATATAAAAGTACATAAGATTTAAACAGAAGATTTATATTTGAAAAGTTGATATTATTAAATTATTTTTCTATGGTGAGAATTTTGCTAGCTTAACAAGTACAACCAAATCCATTCTAAAGAATTCAAGTATATACCGACAGTTTGCTCTCTTTTTCTTATAGAGGTATGGAATGTACAGGAAAACAGTGTACAAGGACAAAAGAAAAGGACATACACATTACTGTCCACTGTTTAATACATTGACCAGTTCTCATACCTTTTCTATACTGTGTTTGTGTATTTTTATTATCAATTTTCATTATGTAAAAAGACTAATTGCTCTCATATTTACTTTCACAGAAAGAGCTGCAAAGAAAATCTTATCAAGCATGGAAGGTATGATTCACCGCTAACATATTAATTTTAATCTTAGTATTTTTATCTTTAAGTAATTTTATCTTTCCTACATTGCAAATTGTAGAATGTTATTTACAACAGCTAGAATTTATTATAGGCAATCTTCTAAGAATTGTAATTTTGTGTATTAAATTCTGACATTGATGCATGCTTATAGATCAAAGATACAGGACGACTAAACCTAAACCTGAGCAAGTGTATTTGAATGAACTAAATTCGTCTAGCAGATACTATATAGTGAAGGTGCTTATTGCTGAAAAGGGTAGAGATATACTATCCTTTAAGAAAACTGTCAGATTTCAAACCTTGCTTTTAAAGGATGAAAAGGTATAAGTTTATTGCTTCCATACTTATGTGGATGGACTTGACAGGTATATTATAGTATGATCATGTTGTGCTACAAAATTAGTTCATTACCCTTCCCTTACTATGCATTGCCATGTTAAAAGCGTACTTTAAATGAACAAGGAAAACCAAATAGACTTAAACTGCACTGGCATACAAAGTTCAGCACAGATTACTGCTGTGAATGAAATAAAAGGCATATTTAGATAAATTAGACTCTTTTTAGCTGTCTATATAAAGTAGTAATGTTCTTATTATATATATAATTAATTTTATGTATCAGCTAAATTATAACAAGAAATTACGGCATGTGAAAGAAATTCTGATACACTGATACAAGAACCTTTTTAGCTTTAATACTCCTGCATCGTGAATCAGTAAGTTGCTGAAAGATTAAATATAAGCATACCTTGGAAATTAAATATGTGAATTTTTCTGCCCAGTATCAAGTTATATTTTAATTATACTATAAGTTTAGTTCAATTATCTACTACATGTGAACTTAGATGAAAAAAATAGAACTGTTAACAATATTCATGTCTTGGCTATATTATACTTGGGAGCTACTATAAGTAAACAATGCAACTATAGCATATAACACATTCAATCTGAGTCTATGACTAACTAAATTTTACTTAATTTATAGGGTAATAGAATGTGTGGTACTCTATTTGGTGACTAAATCGAGGCTTTCGAAGAGGCACTGCATTATTTGGGAGAATATCATATTTCAGCTGCACCAATTAGATACATAGATGAAAAATGGAGGACTGAGTTAGATCAATTTCCTTATCAGATGACTTTTGGTGCTAAAACTGTGATACAACCACTGTATCCTGAACTTGGACCAGTTGAGCCTAACTATCAATCAATATTGTCTATTCCTCGTGCAATAGACCCTGACGAGATATATGGTATAGTTAAATACTAACAATTTAGTTTCATTAACAGCTATTTAGTATGTATAATGACATGATCACTTTTAATAAATTAGATGTTGTGGGAGTTCTGCTAGTCGCTCAAGAATCACCTAGACCAATTGTATCTGGGGAAGGAGGACGTGAAAGTCTTGTGCGAGAAATAGTAATAATTGATCAAAGGTAATAGATAGATAACTTCAACCAGTATTGTTTGATTTATAATTCTTATTGATCTCTGTCATACAATTTAAAGTACTTATCATCTCTTATAAAATTACAGCTGTGACCAGCCATTAGTATCTTAGCGTGGAATGATCTTACTACTCCAAAGTATTTTGACAGGCTAATGGGTTGGGCAGATAGGTTTATGGTTATAGGATTCAGAGCTCTTAAACCACATACTCGTCGTGGTAAAACAATTGCCATAGCTGCTAAATATTTCATATATTTCATTCCATAATTAGAATAGTCTAAATTTATCACTTTTATAGGTTTTTCAATGAATTCTGGAATGTCTAATCGAATCATATATGAACCTAAAGGAGAACGTGCTCGAGTGTCGTCTGACTGGTAATTTGCTGAGAATTAATCTCATAATCAAATTAATATGTATATTATACTAATACAATCTGTGATGGATAATCTGTTAGGGCAAGGCTATTCAACCAAAGATTAGTAGACAGGCAAGCTAGAGTGTTAAATGTTAGGTTCCCAAGTGGGGAAAAGAAAATAGTTTCAATTGTTGAGCTAAGGCAAAAAAAAAGGTGACAATTTATAATTTC